GGGGAAAAAAGCAAAAATATTTTTTTATTTTATATAAAATAATCATTTTGGAGCCAGGGATCCTGCTTGGCAAGTGCAAGGTCCTGAGTTCAATCCCTGGTCCTGCCAATAAATAAATACATTAATAAAATAATAGTAATTTTGTTGATGAAAGAAGAGGAAGAAAATATAGTTTATTGGGCATACTGCATGTCATTCTTAGATAATCATTTCACATTTTAAATGTGTCATATTATCTAAAGATAGGTTATACTATCCCCACTTTCCCCAAATCCACATAGCCAACAACTTTCAAGACACATTTCAAACCCTAGTCCTCCCACTAAATCCTGCCATCTTTCATAAATTCAGGAAAAAGAAAAACCCCTTCAGAAAAAAAAACTGGGCCAGGTATTGTGATACACATCTGTAATGCCATCACTCAGGAGGCTGAAGCAGGCAGATCACTTCAAATTTGAGTCTGACCTGAGCTTCACAGCAAGTTTAAGGCTGTCCTGAACTAAATGAGACTGTTTTAAAAAAAATAAGCAAGTGTGATTAATATTGCCCAAATGAAGCGTTCCGAAAACCAGTAGTACTAATAGAGTGGTTATATTTGAGCATAACTTCTGGACAGCCCAGTAGGGCCAGGGAGATAGCTCAGTAGAATAAGTGCTTGCCTGGCAAGCGCAGGGTCCTGAGTTCAATACCCCCAAAGAGACTGAGAGAAGTGAAAGAGAGTAAATGATTTGGGGTTGGGGAGATAGTTCAGTAGAATAAGTGCTTGCCTGGCAAGCACAAGATCCTGAGTTCAATCCCCGGTACCACAAAAAAGAAAAAAAATAACTTCATAGCTGTTTTGAAACTGTCTCATTGCTATTTGTTTATCAATAAAATTATGAAAAAAAAAACTTCTGGACAGCCCTAAATTGAATGCTGGAGGAGGAGCTTGCCATGGATTGACAAAGTAATAAAAACACTAAGGAAGGAAGGAAGTCATGTGACAAGGAGGCTAAGCTAGCTGAAGTAGAAGAGGTACAGGAAAAAGTAATCAGAGTGATTGTTCAACTCAACAGGCATTTGCTAGACTCCATCTCTGTTCATGGCACTGAACCAAGGAATGGGAAGATTTCAGGTGAAAAGAAAGCCTTCCTATCCTTGAAGAGTTTTTATATAAATGTGAGAGACCAAATGTTTTCCCAAATAACAACAGTACCAAGGTAAAATGTAATGTGAACTATGTATACTATAAACATACACCAAAAACTTTAGGAATAGAATACACCAATGGGAGGTGGAGCGGGGAAGGCTCCACGAAGGAGGTAGCATTTGAGCTCACTTACTGCCTGAAGAAGGGTAGGGTTCTTGAGGAATAATGAATTGTACCCAGTAGGCCAAGATGAACAAGTGACATGGGCTTTCTAACAAAGGAAGGATCTGAAGAAACATGTTTCAGATAAGTGAACTGCAAGTCATACCTAAGAAGTATTTTAAAAGACAGGTAGTTTATTAGGACAGCTAAGAGGCTATTGGTATAATTCAAATATAAGAAATGGACACCTGGGACCAGTGACAAGAAAATGGAGAAGTCCTTCCACTAAAGCATTCTGGCTGGGCATGGTGGTACACGCCTGCAATCTCAGCATTTGGGAACCTGAGGCAGGATTGCTGCAAGTTCAAGGTCAGCCTGGGCTACATGGTGAACTCAAGACCAGCCTGAACTACATAAGGATTAAGGATATGACAGAATACTCTAGAAAATGAACCCTAACCTGGGTCCCCAAGAAGAGCAGACAGAACTACTACATCCCTTTGGTAGGGATACCTACCTGATCTAGCATTCCTTCTCTGAGCCACTTTGAGAGCACCTGCCAGTGTGTGTCACTGTTGCTTTCCCTTCCTTCTCTGTGTTCCATTTCTGGCCAGCCCTCTTCCCATGCAATGGATACTTTCATCCTCTGGATGTGCCAATACCATCAATAAGGCTATAGCCAAATCTCAATCTAGTCAATAAGCCATTCGTAAAGGGGTCTGTTTTTCATTGACTTTACCACTCTGTGTTGATTTTATAGTATAACTATCAGAGGAAACCCCAGTTTTTATTTCCAGATTCTTCATAGTAGGTAACTGTGCTTTGTCCCTTTACATGGCCCATGGTACGAATTTCTTCTGATCTTCTATCATTTGCCCTTCTTTCTCTTCTCCAGGATTCTGTCATTTGGCTGCTAAGCAACTGATTCCTATTTTCTGATCTCCTTTGCTCAATTCCATTTCTTTTAATTCCATAGCTACCCTCTTTACTTCAGTATTTTTGCTTCACTGAAGAGAAACTCATTTTAATACCTGCTATTCAAGTCAAAGTCTAAGCAGAAGCTCAGAAAAATTAAAATAGCTCTTGTTTTGCCTGTGACAAAAAAAGATTCACGTAATTTTTTAAAAGCTATTTCCTTTTACTTGCAAAACATGATTCTTGGGCTGGCCAAATAGTTCAACATACTAAAGCTCCTAAGGGCTGGGGAGATAGCTCAGCAGAATAAGTGCCTGCCTGGCAAGCACAAAAGAAAGAAAAAGAACATAAAAGAAAGGAACAGTATATTAAAGCGCCTGCTTAGGCAGACTCAGGGACCAGGGTTCAATTCCCCGCTGTGCAGTGCCTGGCTGGCCTGCCCCCAGGGTGAGCTGAAACAGCAATTGAGGCTGGGTATGGTGCCAGGATTCTCAGCTCTTGGGAGGCTCTGTAATTCTCAGCTCTGTAATCTCAGCTCTTGGGAGGCTGAACACAGGTGGATCACTGCAAGTCTGATCTGTGTGGTGAGACCCTGTAGACCCTGTACTAAATACATTTTTTTAAAGTTTTTAAAATATGATTCTTTGGCACTGGCTTTGTGCTTGTCACTATGACATCCTAAAATATAATAAGGCAGATGAAAAATTAAGGGGGAGTGGCCAAGAATAACATTTCTTTAAAAATTCCTTAAGGACAAATAGTGTTACATATGTCTGGTAGAATGAGTGAAATAATTAGCTAACTAATGAATCTTCATAATATTAATGGGAAATGATGGAGTTTTAATCATTCTGGCCATAGAAATGCATTCAGAGCTTCCCTTTCAGTCTCAGGATAAGTTGTTAAATATGACATGAAGTCACTTAAGTCTCTTTATACCTCCCTTGTGTTGGAACCAACACTTTGGACTGAAGCCCCTTTGTTCTCGGTGGGAAGTCTGCCGCCTCTACCAACTTGTCCTCAGGAATGTTGTTCTAGAAATAAACCAACCCTCTCTCTGGGGTTCATGAGTCATACACAGAAGTTAATTCATTGGAACAACTGGTTTTTCTTAGGCTCATTGTAAAAGTATTTCAGAGAGTCACTCATGATGAAGAATGTTAGGATTCTCCTTGCTTTCTTCCAGCTCTTACCTCATTTCCTTTGTCTGTGCTTTCTCCACCATCTTATTTTGGTCCTCACTGACCACCTTTGCCTGCAGACTCAGGCCCCAAGGCCAGAACTAGGGCTGTCTAAAGCCCAAGGTACTCCAGCAAAGCCTTATTGCCACCCCTCTACTCAGTGCAACTCACTCACATTTGGAATTAAAATCATACTCCACCAGACCATCTCTGTCCTCTTTGCCACTAATCACACTTTTGAGACAGTATGCCAATGAATAACTTTATAATCTATATCGTAAGGTAAAACTCACTACTCCATTTTTTCATTTCCTTAAAATTCAATTTATGACAGAAATAATAATTAAATGTAAAATTTTAATGTAAAACAACATGAAGTTGAAGTTCCCCTTGTTAACTAAAGATTTAACTTGCCTTGCTCTATAATTTTTGGTTTTTATATTCTAGAACATTTTTAAACACAAGAAATACACAATTACAATAAAATTTAAATAATATAGAGGTCTAAATTGTAGAAAAGAAGCATATTTGAGAACCCTGTCTCATCTACACATCCTATCTGTTGTTAGTAGTTTGATCGTAACCTCCCGGACCTTTGTAAAGTGGGCTTGCAGATATTTGTGTGTACTTAGGCAGACAGTTTTATGTCCATATAAGTGAAGCAATGTTATATCTGTTCTTCATTGTCCTTGTTCACTTACTGTCTCCTAGTTTTCCATGCCAGAACATTTAGCTTTACTTTGTTAATAGCTACATAAAACTCCATGGCTTGAGTGTGCCATCATTTATTTAAACAGTTCTATAGATGCACACTGGAATTACTTCTTGTTTGTGGTTTTTATTATTTGTCACTAAAATAATCCTATACTGAACATGTTTGCATATGTCTTTTGGGAGGGTTTTGTTTGTTTATTTTAATGTAGTTGGTACCAGATCTCACTATGCAGCTCGGACTCGTAGTGATCCTCCTGTTTTCAGCCTCCCCGGCCCTGGGATTGCAGGCATGCGCCACCATGCCTAGACTCAGTGGCTGGCTCATTATGCCTTGGGGGAGAGCCAGTGCAGCATACAGTACCGAGAACTGAACCCCAATCCCTAGGCTTGCCTAAGCAGGCGCTTACTCCACTGAGCTATCTCATGGGCATTTGTCTCTTTGGGTACTAGGCTAGATATCTCAAGATGCAGTTGATGGATCAAAAGATAAGCACATTTAGTGGCCAGATGTGGTGGTGGACACCTGTAATCCCAGTACTAGGAAGACTGAGATGGCAGAATGCTTCAAGTTCGATGCCAGCCTGGACTATGAAGTGTGAGTTTAAGGCCAGCCTGAACTGCATAGTAAAGTCCTATTTCAAAAAGACAAAGACACACACATACAAAAAAACACACACACACACACACACACACACACACACACAAAATATTTTCATCACATATAATAGTAGAGCTATTCTATCTTACCTGCTAGGTTTCTACTTTTAGATGATAAAATAAAAAAAAAAAAAAAAAAAAAAAGATGTGTCTTTAAATTTTTATACTTTTCAAAAAAAGTGTTTATACTTTTCAAAATATATAATTAAACATTTTAACCACTATTTTCCTTTCATCTACAGAGACTTCTATCCTAGGAACTGACATTGACCTTCAGACTATAGACAATGATGTTATCAGCATGGAAATTTTCTTCAAAGCCTGGCTACATAACAGTGAAACAGACCAAGAACACATCCATCTTCTTCTTCCATCACAGTGTTTCAGCACCCTTTCCAGAACCAAGGATAATCCAAGTACATAACCCCTAAAAGATATATTATATAGGCCAATGATGATGAACCTCTTAGAGCTTTCACTGACACAAGAAGGCTGCTGTGGCCCACTTGCCATAGGTTCCCCACCACTGATATAGGCTGTGAAATATCCTTGTCTGGGATTAGGACTCTAGATTGGTGAGTCATCAGACTACAGGGTAGTTGAGGCTTGGGGATTGGATGAGGCCACACAATGTTAGCATGAAAACAAGGAGAGAAATTCAAAAAGTGTCATAATTAGAAAGCTGAGCCTAATTAAGCCCAGCTAGTAAGGACCAATTAGCTTAGAAACAAAGTCTTAGACACCTCAATGACAGGGAATCAGCCTCATTTACCCCAGAACATGACAAATCATATTTTTCTCAATACTCTCATTTTTTAAGTAGTAAATATTATTGGCACCATAATTTGAGGCAGCTTGTTATCTCAATAATATCAACAGGGCCTGTGGCAAGAAAAAGAGAACCATTATTAAATAGAGATCCTCTCACTGGGCAGGCACAAAATTGAAGAAAATTAAAGCCAGCTACACTCACAAGCACAGGGAGAGCAGCCAGTCATCAAGGCTTTCACAAAGCAGTTCAGACAATTATTGAAACCAAGGGATGAATCAGTGTTCCAGGCATGCCAACAAGATCTTGGATGTTATTCTAGCTTGTAATTCTGTTTCACTAAATGGTAGGGATAAGGCCATTTCTGTTCTCCCATTCTTTTGAAGGTTTTTCTCAACCTGAAGTGGCAAAGCTGACAGGTGGGCCCATCAGTACAGTCGGGCACACTATGTTTAGGAAAGGCAATTCCCTAAGGCCCACCTCCTAAGAGAAAGAGTTGAAGTTTGTCTTGAGAGTTTGTCCCCATTTTTCTTGTTGAAGAAAATATTGGTAGTATCTACAGAGATCACTCAGCGTCAAAGGCTGCACTGTGTGTGATGTTTTCCAGATCTTTCCTCATAGGCCGTGACATGACCCACTCAGGTTTTCATGCCCTCTGAGAGCTTTTCCGTAGCCATTAGCAGTATATTTCACTTCTGTATTCTTCCACTGCAATACAACTGTGATATGGCTATTATTTTTTCAGGAGAGTGAAGGGCCTTTTTAAAGTATAATTAAATAGGATTATGGCTTCTGAAGATATTTTCTTTCTAGAGATAGACATCAGATCTCTGCTCCCTCCCCTATTTAAAGGTGGAATCTGGGGTGCTTTTGACAAATTAATTTGATTTTAATCTGCCTTTCTTTTGTGTATCAAAATCTCCTTCTCAAGTCCTTCTTTCTGTCTAGTCCCAGACTGACAATACCAATTCCTCCCTGATCCATCCTTTTAAATTCATTTTCCATTTTCCCCTGTTAAAAGCATCTGACAGCTTTATAAAAGAACCAGTTTATAGTTAACATTACTGAGCCTTCCCTTTCTGAGTTAATACTATATATATATAAAACTCTTTTATTTTCATTAGCCCATTTTATTTTTATACCAAACCTAAGGTTGGCACTGTTTACTATATGTTATTGAATCTAAAATGCTATAAATTATAAGATAGACCATTATTTTATGCACAACTAAGAAAGAAAACATTGCCAATTAAGCATTAGAAGTATTACTTTATCCTTATTAAGGAGTTATTTTACATTAGAGTTATAAGTACTGTAACTGGTCAATGGCAAGAGGAAGACATACATAGAGATGTTAATAGAAACAACATGCCTTTAAATCAACTAAATACAATATTGTCCCTGTTTTATACACTGAGAAAACTAAGACAAAGAAATTAAACATCTTTGCGAGGTGGCACAGAAGATTAATAACAAAGCCAAGATTTGAAGCCATACAATTCCAGGGTACATTCTTCACACTTAGAATCATAAATATTTAGGGTTTGTTTGTTTGTTTGTTTGTTTTTATTTTTTTTTTATTTATTTTTTTTTCAAAGTTTTATTGACAAACAGATAGCAATGAGACAGTTTCAAATCATATCGGAAGGACAGTTTCAACAAATAATACACT